AGTTGAAAATTATTAGGCAGCTGGTGAGTATGGATATTGCTACCAAAACCAAACTCACTGCTGTTGAGTCGGATCCGACTCATAGCGACCCCTCCTTGGGTTTCTGAAGTGGTATCACTATGGAAGTAGATTGCCCAATCTCCTTTCCAAGGAGTGGCTGGTGGGTTTGAACTGCCAGCCTTCTGGTTAGCAATCAAATGCCTTAGGCACTATGCCACCAGAGCTCCTTGTCCTGAGTATAAGCTATAAAATTTAAACTCTAGAACACAATGGATTTTCATTTATCACAGAGCAAACTATTTACAGTGTGTATTAGTTTCCTAGGGCTACTATAACAAAAAACAACAACATAAATCGGGTGGCTTATAAGAACATAAATGTATTGTTGCATAGTTTTGGAGGCCAGAAGTCCATAGCAACATGTCAACAAGACCATTAAAAAAACTCACTGCCCTTGAGTCAATTCGACTCATAGTGACCCGTCCGTGGGTTTCCGAGACGGTATCTTTACGAAAGTAGATTGCCCAATCTTCCTTCCAAGGAATGGTTGGTGGGTTTGAACCACCAGCCTTCTGGTTAGCAGTCAAGTAGGTAGCTGGTGTGTAAGGATGTTGCTAAATAGATTTCAAAAATACATCCATAGAGCTTTTCTTTCTCTCTTCCCTCCTTGACGGACGCTACAGAATCCGTAGCCTCATTGTGCTCTGTGTGCTCTCTGCTGAGGTAACCCAGAAGTCATTTCTAAAACATCGGTCTCTCTTAGAAAAACATGTGACACCATCTCCCTTAGAGACTGGTGTCTTCTTGGCAGGTACCATAGTGCAAGTGCCACTTGAGGCTGTCCTCGTTCATCTGGTTAACCGCTCTCCACCCTCAGCTTCTCTCTGCCTATGATGGAGACCCCTGCACGTTCCCTGACACAGTGCCCTTCTAAGAGGTGCAGACATAGACTGTGGGTTCTAAATACAGCCGTCTCCACTTGCAGTATGAAAAAGCTTCAGGCTGGGTGTAAAGCCAAACAATCGGAAGAGCATTTAAATGGATGTAGAAGGAACATGAGGCAAAAAATACTTAATGGCAGGCAACAGTTCTTTCAAATGCATAGGAGCACATTATAACATGATATGTGTAGATTATAAATGAAATGTAACAATTTAACTTTACCACTCTGTAATGAATTCCTCACACTAGAGTGATTTGCTGTAAAATAAATGTATGTTTTCCCAATGTCTATTCCACTCTAGGCAGGTCTAAACTGTATTTATAATCAGACAGCCTCCATTTTGCGGGTTCTGACTGACAAAGCCATCTATTTTTTTTTTGTTCAAATGAACCGTGGAAATTTTGGATAGCAAGCCTTGGAAGCTTCAAAGTACATTTTCCCATCTCTTCTTATCAGGGAGCTGGACTTTAAAGAAAAAAAGAACACTATCAATGCTATCGGACACCACTGTGGAAATAACAGTTTAACCCACAATACAATTGGCCTCGGATGAGGACCCGTATGGCTGCTGTAGTTGACTCTGAAAATCAATTTACATTCCAGTGATCTATCCTGTGCATTCTCCTAGTGTCATTTGAGTGCCACATACATATCATAAAACCAAAACCAAACCCATTGCCATTGAGTAGACTCCATCTCACAGCGACCCCCACTGGGTTTTCAAGTTGGTAAATCTTTACAGAAGTAGATTGCCCCGTCTTCCTTCCATGAAGTGGCTGGTTGGTTTGAACTGCCAGCCTTCTGGTTAGCAGTCAAGGGCTTTAGGCACTGTGCCATCAGAGCTCCTTGTATACATATCATAACCAAAAACCAAACTCACTGCTGTTGAGTCAGATCTGACTCATAGCGACCCCACCTTGGATTTCTGAGGTGGTATCACTATGGAAGTAGACTGCCCAACCTTCCTTCCGAGGAGTGGTTGGTGGGTTTGAACTGCCAGGTTTTTGGTTAGCAGTCAAATGCCTGAGGCACTAAGCCACCAGAGTTCCCATACATATCACAGAGGGAGTGAAAAGACATATCTTTTATCTCTAGGAGCTGAAGGAACCAATCAGCCTTTAAGGCTAATAAACAAGGTGCCCAGAATGAAACCTGAACTTTAAGACTTGAAACCTTGATGGAGACAACCTTGGAGGCATTCATCTCAAAATAAGAGTTTTCTCTCTCAGGAGTCTTAAGTAATTTGAGGGTACACTAGTTCCTTTGTTCTGGAAGATTTACTTGAATGGGCTGTGATGGTGTTCGTGTTGGGGGTGCTTTGGGATTTTGGTGCAGATACATCTTTGTTGTGTGGATCTGTCCTGGATGTCATAGGGTGCTCAGTATAATGGCTCTGTCCCACTGATGGCATCTGATGCCCTCAATCACCGTGACAACCAAAAATGTTCCCACCCATTTCCAAACACACCTTGCAGAGGTGGTGCTCGTCTGTTACAGAACCACTGAATAAGATGGGTACTTGCATTTCCATTGATCTTGGGGCCTTGGGAAGGGCACCACTAACCCAGTTAATGAAGTGCTTTGTTTGGTATTTGTGGGGCACAAGAAGTCAGAGCTAGGTTTCTACAGACATTCCTGTTTTAAGTTCTCTGAGATGGGACAGTGCCTGAAAATGCACTTGTCTTCTCAGAGAGTTTATATGTTCTCATTTTGAGTGCTGTGCAACACTACCTCTTCATAGTAAGGGGAAGCAGTGAGAAAGAGTTAGACCAAGCTTAGATGGGGCAGCTCAGCAGGAACTTGTTGATGCTCTGCATGTCGCATTATGTAGCCTGAAAGACCTGGAAGGGACCGAGGTCAGATGGATATGCTAATAGAGGGTTGTCCTGTTAGGAGCCATAGGGCAAGACACATCTCTGTGGGAAGGGAGTGGGAGTTTCCTCAAAAGAAGAGCCTTCCCACTGCAGTCATCCTGGGAGAGGCTAATTTCATGAATATCACAGAAGACGTGAACACCTCAAGGCAGCTGTGCCTCTTGGCACAGACAAGGTTTACGAATCCTGGACGGAGTCACTGAGTGGGTCCCTGCCTCATATAGAAGAAACTGCCAAGCCTCTGTTAGTCATCTTGACAGGGCTGCATCAGTGCTGATGGCAGCCACTCTAGGTGCAGTTATAAATTACTCTCTGGTTTATAATCCTACTTCCTAAAGCTTCAGTAGCGGAATTAACTGTTGCAGCCTGGGCTTACTACACTTTGGGTAGTTAGGAAGGGCCAATACTAAGCTTGGAGAAGGGTGGTAAGAGGCAGTGAACAAGTCCCAGCGGCAGAAGCAATGGTAGCAGCTTGATAAGGAAGCAATGAGAGGGGATCTGGGGACATGCACACAGGGGCTCGTGAAACAGCAGAATAACTGGGTGTGAGACGGAGAGGGCTCAGAGTCATTCTAAGTAGGGCATCAGTGGAAAGAGGACCTTCTTTAATATTCATGACATGTTGGAGGCAGGAACCCATTTGAGTGAGAGGACCAGAATACCAGCTCTCTCCACAGCACCTGTCTGAATTGTTTGTCTGCAGCTACTCCCCAGCCAGGGTCTGCCTGCGTTCCCACAGCACCCGTCATCTCACACACCCCTCTCCTCCTCTGGTACCCCCTGCACATCTGTTGGCTTGATTTCTCCACCTGGGCAGCTTGAGGAAAAGGATTTAACTTGATATATCATGGTTTCTCCTTCCTCATGAGACTTTGTACACACAGGTGCTCATGGAATATTTTTTCTCTGATGCAGGGATTAAGCATTTTCACTTATGGCCTTCTAGTTGTTGTTCCTCCTCATTGCTCATTACCATAGAACTAACAGGATGGAAGTTGGGGATGTGTGACAGAGAAGATACAAAAATGGGAATGGTCCCTTGAGAGGAAAATCAATTTTGACCAGTTGAAACTGGATAAAACCAATTCTCGTGAGTTCTGACCTACTCCAATTCACTTTAAGTATCAGGTTCTGGGTATCAACAGAGATGTTAGCCCTTGTGGTCCTAGGTAAAATGGCCTCATGGCTCTAGTGTGGCTGCCCAGTGGCTGTAGGTGCTGATGACACGTAATGGCATTTGGATGGTAAAATGGCACTGGAGGTGTCTCTATAGTCTTGGGTTTGTCCATGGTTCTAGGTGGTGTTGGTATTGTGGTGGAGATTCTAGAGCTCTGCATTTCTAAGGAATCAAGCCAGTTCTGGCTGGTTCAAACTAGTTGTGAATGATTTAAACTAGATGAAAGGGGTTCTTCAACAAGCCTGCTCCTTTTCAATCTGGATAAAACAGATTCAAACAGATTTATGCCAGCCTTGAACTAGTCTAAACTGGGTTAGTCTTGCACTGACTTTTCAGACTAGCCAAGTTAGAGTTGATCAAATGGTTCATTCTACTTGAACTGAGCCAGGTCAATCGAGCTTGAACAGGATCACCTGGCTTAAATGCAATGAGACCTAGTTTGAACCAACTCTGCAAACATGAACGTTTAAGGCACGGATCTCCAGTTATGAGTGACATACCTTTCAAATCTGAGGCATTGTACCTACAATGATATCCTTTCTCAATCAGTCAAGTTTTTAAAGTTTATGATCACGTGTTTAAGGACATAGGTAATATTTCTTAAGAATGACCTAAATATGTAACATTTATACAGTAAAATGTGTGAAAGCCACAACCTGTATAAGGCAGAAACCTCAAATATTTTCCACTAAAATAAGTGATAGAAAAGTAGTAAGACTACACCCTGTCTAAGGCAGAAAATTCACCAGATCAGAAAAAACAAGGCAGTCCTGCCGAGTTTCCGCTCTCGTTGCATATAAGGACTCCAGCCCTGGAACTCTTTATTCTGTTTGGTTAGCAGGGACAGACGTACAAACACTTCCTGCAGTGTTATCTCAGTGCATGCTCCTCCAAACTCAGGACTGGACACATGAGGTGTGGGATGACCACTGTGACTCTCAAGGGCTAGGTGCCCAAACGGGCCCACTGTCTCCCCCTCCCCCGTTGCACACGACACCCCCCTCACCTTGATTCTGCTTACTGCTTCCTGGGCCTGCATCATGCGTACATTTTTGGAAGGAGTTTTGTCCGAGAGCAGCTGGGTGGAGCCAAGGTAATTGGCAGCAAAAATGATGCCATCAATCAAGTCTTCGGGGTCACAAGGTCCGGGAACTGTAATACACAGAGCCACAGCAGTAAGCAAAGTGACCCTGGGGCAGGAAACCCCTCGTCCATGGTGCATGCTCCTCCCTTGCTCCTCGTCACCCACAAAGGTAGGCCAGGTACCTTGAACAGGTAAGCTGACCTGCTTGTCTAAGGTGTCTCCCTGTGTCTACTTCACTCACCCCTAGTTTTCAAAAACGAGGAGCAGTTTCTTAGAGTAATTTACTTCACCCATTATGTGAGAGATCATGGGAACATTTGAAAATGAAACATAAAACTCAATGACTAAAGATGTTGTTTCTTCTGTTACACCATGAGCTCTCTAGGGCCAATGACCATGTCTTATTCAGCTTTGGCTCTCTTGTGTCTAGTCGGCATCTGCCACCCAGTGTGTATTAAATTTCTGCTGGATAGAAGGTCAGGTGAACAGAATGCTGATCGGAAAACCTCCTTTTACAGCAGTCCCTATGACTTGCCAGCTTTTCATCCAGCACCAGGCATCAAGCTGACTTCCACTTCATGGGGACAGACCCCATGCATGTGAGAATAAAACTGTGCTCCAAAGGGTTTCCAATGGCTGTAGTCTTTCAGTAGTAGATTACCAGGCCTTTCTTCCAAAATGTCTCTGGGTAGACTCAAACTGACAACCTTATGGAGAGTAGCCAAGCTTGTTAACTGACTGTACAACTCAGGGACCCCTAATTTTCTCCATAATAGGGGAGACAAATTTTATAAATCAGAAAAAGGCCTATTTTTCTGGACATCTATTTCATAATATCTGGATTCCTATAATAACCCAAACTCACTGCCATCAAGATTCTAACTCAGAGCAACCCTAGAGGATAGAGTGGAACTGCCTGACAGGACTTCCAAGGCTATAACTCATTACGGAAGCAGACTACCTCATCTTTCTCTTGTGGAGGGGCTGGTGGATTTGAACCACCAACCTTCTGGTTAGCAGCCAAATGCTTTAACTACTACACCACCAGATCTCCCCTCCTGGATTCCTCTATTAGTTTCTAATTCTGATTCTACAGAACAGATATCACCCAAAAATGTGATCAGCTTTGCTAAATTACAAGCCATGATGATCCTGGCCAGATCACATACTCAGATCAATTGCAAGAAAACAGAAATTTTCTGTTTACCTACCTTTTTAATCAAACCTTAGTTTTAAATATGTATTCTAAATGGGAGCATCTGATACTAACCACAATCATTTATAAACGCTACTCTAAATTAAACATGTCTGGGACTAATACACAACTTTACAACAGATGCAGTAGGAAAAGCATTTGAATTCTGTAATTAAAGCATGAATTTTCTTGGACTTGAATGCCATATTTGGGGAAACTATTATATACATTTTAACTCACTGTTCAAAGCTTAGGGCCTTAAATTAGATAACTTGAAAGACAAACAATTTGTTTTCCTCTTGGAAGTTAATCTGAAGTGGTTTTTATTTTTATCCTTAAAAATCAAGCTCATCTTAGGCTTAAACAGCTGCTTCCCATGATAAGCTACTTATCATCCTGCAGATTTAAAATAATCTATTCATTTTTCTAAAATAAAGGTGGTGGTTGAAACAAAGAAATTAACAGTGTTTTAGAAAAGCCTTCACCAAGCATCTGTGTAGTAATTAAATAAGGAAACTTGCTATTTGTCTTCTTCTTGGTGTTTATGAGACAGACTTCTGGACCAAACACACTGAGTGGTACCCAGCATGACCTGCATCCATTACACAGTTTAATTTACATTCTCATCAGCCACATGTTCCCGCCATGAAGTTTTTTTTTATAGATCTAGGTTATTTACAATACATGGTTTTAATTGTCTAGCAGGGAAGTACTAGTCTAACTAAAATCATGCACTGTAAGACTGCCAGTCTTTTATTATAAATTACTAGTGATGGATTTACAATGCCAGTGAAACGAAACAAAAACTAATCATTTTTGCCAACTAGGTTTTGAGGGAAAAAAATGATCTCATCTGGGATGGTAATTTAAAAAAAATCTTCCATCAGTTTTTTAAATTATGAGTGCAAAAGGAAAAACAAAGATTAGCCACTTTACCCAGATGCTCTCCAACAGTCTGTATTAATCTCTGATTTCTCTGTAATAATTCCCTGAGGAGGATCAGCAGAAAAAAAGGCAGACCCTCAACAGAAGGGGCTGGCACAGTGGCTGCAACAATGGGCTCAAGCACAGCAATGAGTCTGAGGACGGTGCGGGGCTGGGCCAGTCTGGTTCTGTCGTACACAGGGTCCCTAGGAGTCGGAACTGACTTGGCAGCACCTAACAGCAGCATTCCCTGGGTAGTGCTAACAGGTAACATGCTCGGCTGGCAACTAAAAGGTTGGAAGTTCATGTCCACCCAGTGAGGCCTCAGAAGAAAGGCTTGGTGGTCTACGTCTGAAAAATTAGCCATTAAAGATGCTCTGGAGCACGCTTCTACTTGGATAGATGTGGGGTCACCATGACTCAGAACTGACTCAATGGCAATTGGGTTCCCTGCAAAGAGCCCCTTTTCAACTGCAGTAAGTGTGAGTGTCCAGAAATGTTTTAAAGAAATCCAAATAATATTTAAATAACTGTGTAAATGCCAAACGGCTAGAAGACAGAAAGACTGGACCTAACCAAATTCTAAGTTTAAAGTGTGGTCCTATGCCATTCATCTTTCAGGGAAATTAAGGATAATCAAACATATCTCAATGTAACACACCAAGGGGAGGAGGGGGACAAAACTCCTCATTCCCTAAGTTTATCCTAGGCTCGGCACTAATGTATTAATTTTTTTTAAAAAAAGGATTCAAGGTTTCATTCTGGTCTTTTGGAACATACATTTCCCTTTAGTGGTGCATCTGGGTTATTCTGTGGGTGGACAAGCACGTGTACTATATCCCCACTTTCATGTTAATGCTGAGCCTGAGAATCACTAGGCCTAGTGGAACAGATATGGAGAAGAAGGAAGTTTTCAAACATCAGAAAACTTCACCAAGTGCTCTCATGAAATCTCAGAGCTTCTTGAAATGATGCAAATAATCTACAGGCTATTGAATGAGATGGACTGACACAGTGGTGGCAACAATGGGCTCAAACGCAGCAATGATTGTAAGGCTGGCACAGGACTGGGCAGTGTTTTGTTCTGTTGCACACAGGGTCACTAGGAGTCAAAACTGATTGCATAGCACTTAACAAAACATTCAAGAAGGAAACCTGAGTAACTAGATCAAACCTGTCCTGGGTTCCTAGGCCTGAGGGTTCATGAAGGTTTATGAAGCTTTGTAACTCATCCCCAGGTAGTAGAACACACCAACCATTCCCTTTTGAGATCTGAAGATCAGACACGGCCTGAAAGTGATGCCTGGGCATTCTCTGGCCTCTGGAAAAAGTTCCTTTAAGGAAACGACAATCCCTACTCAAACAAGCATCTCTTGGCCTCCCTAGCAGAGCATCAACACCACCTCTACACATAAAGTGTCACTGTGTGAATAAAAAAGGCCACCCATTTGCAGGTACTCCCTAAGTTTCAGTGTGTAGCTTGGGCCCAGTAAACCTCTTGGCTGGGTGCCCTTGTGCAGTGAATAACGTGTACAACCTGTGTAGCATATTGGTTACAGGGAGAATTCAGGACTCAGCCTGCCAGTTCATAGGCTGGCTCTGCTGCATACTAACTGGGTGATCCTGGGCAAGGTACTCTCTCAATGCCTCAATTTTCTCATCTGTAACATGGGGATAATAAAAAAATCCACTTCGCAAGACTGATATGAGGATACATGGAAAGTACCTGGCAAGAGTAAGTACAGGTAGCACCTGACTTACAGTGGGGTTCCATTTTGACGAGTCTGTCATTAGCCAAATCTAAAAAGTAAGTTGAAGCCTTTTTTTTTTTTTTTTTTCAGTTTTCATTATTACTGCCTTTTATTGTCAGTATCTTTATGAATTCTATCTTCATTTGTCTTTGGGGGTTGGAAACATTACATATAAACTCACAGGTTTGGCATTAGCAGATTAAGTGCTACAACACTGTATGTAGTACACATACTAACGGTAAGATACACACAGAGAGAAGATGATCATTAGGTGTGGTTTGTCCTAACTCAACTAGATCATAGGTCAGGAACTACGTGTCTTTGATAAATGTTACTGTTACTAGTTTATCCAAGCAACGCCAAAAGGAATTTGGGGGAAGGTTTTTCTTACAAAAAAGATAAAAATTTCTTCCTTTAAGTTCATTCCCACTTGAATTGGCCGTGATGGATAAAAGGGTATACTGGACTAAAAGTAAGGAGACTGAGATTTTAAACCCAATATGACTACAACAAAGCTATACGACACGGGGTAGCTCCCCAGCCTCAAGTTCCTTATCAGGCAGAGAAAGGGGTGTTTCGAGAAATTTGAACCTTCTGCATTTTTGGCTTCAGATTCTGAAACTTTTAAGACTGTGTATAAGTGACTTTGTGGCCTTTCTTCTCCACTATCGTCTTACAGCTCAGTGCTTCAAGTACCTAAAACCCAAAATGTAAAAGATTCATAAATGACCCAGCGCTCAACAATTTTTTTTTTCAGTTCTTACCTTCAACGTAGGTTGGGAATGATGCCAAGCTTTTTCTTGACTGTAATTAAGACAAAGAGGTTTCAAAAAGGGCAAAGTGTGATAAAATATGCATATACACAACCACCTATGCAACATGAAAAATAAACACATCGCCAATGGCAGTTATCAACCAGTTACTGATCATTTTTTGGTTAGAGGAAAAAAACGTGGATAGATACATGATTTACTACTCAAGTTACCCAAAGCCCAGAACAGTCCATTCATATTTTAGATAACCTGAAAATCCTACATTTCATGATCTAAGAGATGTCTGATCGCCTAAAAATTATCCCACAGACCCAAATCTATAATCAATAATAGCAATAAAAAAGGGAATAATCTGTATCCTTTAGAATCTGTATTTCCAAATGAAAAAACTGCTGAACAGTAAGAACATCAACAATATGATCCCTTGGAGAAAATAGGAATTCCCTTGGAGAAACAAGTAAATGACTTTGGTTTTGTTCTTTTTCCCACAGTCACTGCGCTAAAAGTGTTTGCTAGGTTCTTCATCTCTTCCTTTCATCTCTTACTGAGTTATTTTAGTTGAAAAATTCCATCATATAAATCATTCTTGTGGCTTACCTTAAAGTAAAAATATAGCGAAGAAGGAAGTGGATGACAAAAACCACGGATTTCTTGCATTAAGTACCACCGCCTCGGAAACCCAAGGAGGGGTCGCTATGAGTCTGATCAACTCCACTGCAGTGAGTTTGGTTTTTCTGGTTTGTTGCAGTAAAGGTCAGCACTGTTGGGAGTGGTAAAAATCTCCCAGAGCCTGAATGGATGGTATCTTAAATGCTTGGTCTCAGAGCAGCGATATACAGTGGCAATTTCATTGCCTAAGGTATTTATTTGACTGCTAACCAGAAGCTGGCAATTCAAACTTACCAGCCACTCCTCGGAAGGAAGATTGGGCAATTTACTTCTGTACTGATACCACCTTGGAAACCCAAGGAGGGGTCGCTACGAGTCGGACCCGACTTGCTGGCAGTGAGGTTTTTTTTTTTTTAATGGTTATGTGGAAAGAAGACTAGGCAATCTACTTCTGTAAAGATTTATCACCTTGGAAACCCAAAGGGGGTCACAATGAGTCAGGATTGACTCAATGGCAGTGAGTTTGGTTTTGGTTTCTTACTGGTTATAGAATTTGTCACTGATGTATATGGGGCAGAGTGATGAGCACTGCAGGAGAGTGGAGAGAGAATTTTAAAGAAGAGTTCATACAGTGGGTAAAGACTGGGTCTGCACGGCCAAGGGTTATTCTCAGAAAGCCCAAAGATGTTCACTGCTGAGAATCTACCAGGTATTAGGTGATTATTTTAATCCATACCTCTTACAGAAAGGGGCTCTAGCACAGCATAGGTACTCAATAGGCTGACTTGAACTGACAATAGAATCTGGGGTGCCCAGTGAACTAGAAGCTGGATCTGAAAGAGGACTGGGATGTCATGGGAAGCAACTTGCTATCACTGCACCTTCTACAGAACTCTTTATTTGGAAGATGGGGATGGCCAAGAGACAATTAGTCAATACTTGCACAATGTTCTAAAGCATACTAATTTTTTTTACTTTCATATATTTCATTTTTGCAGGGTTCCCCCTCCTCCCCTCCCGCTACTGGTAACTAACAAAGAAAGTTTCCTTCCATATATGAACCTTTTAAAACATCCAAAAACCAAACTCACTGCCATGGAGTCGGAAACCTTGTATCATTACAAAAGTAGATTGCCCTATCTTCCTTCATGAAGAGTGGCTGGTGGAACTGAACCACCAGCCTTCTGGTTAGCAGTCAAATGCCTTAGGCACTACACCACCAGAACTACCTTTTAAAACATAGTAATTTCAAATGTAAGTAGTTCTGGTGGTGTAGTACCTTAGGCATTCGCCTGCTAACCAGAAGACTGGTGGTTCAAATCCACCAGCCACTCCTCGGAAGGAAGGTTGAGCAATCTACTTCCATAGGGATACTGCCTCAGAAACCCAAGGAGGGGTCGCTATGAGTCAGATTCGACTTGATGGCAATAAGTGAGTTTTTCAGAATTTTAAATGCTGTGTGAGAAATTGGGGCCAGCTGGAGGAACCTAACTTTAACACTCTAACCCAATTCAGAACAATGACAAGAATTCAACACTAATCACACAACATGTTGCACAGGGCAACTCATCAGTGACACCGGCCGCAGAGTGTGTCCAATGGGATGGAAAGACTCTTCACACCAAAGAGAGTGGGTCTTCTGCCTTGGAAAGGGTCACCTTTAAAGAAACTGAAGATACAGTACACCAGAAATGAAAGGTAACGGTTGCTAATGCATTTACAGAGAAATGCACACCAAGGGGAAGATACGGTATGTGGATAGAAAGAAAGAGAACTCAAATCCAACAGTTCTTTACATTCATTTTACTTTCCATTTCCTCAAGCGAGAAGACAGGCTCAGTCGATTGTCAAATCCAATTCTAATTCTGATTAGTTGTTTGGTGGGGCGGGGAAAAACTTCATGGTGTTCACATGGAAGTTAGCTTCCTCATAAGGGCCGCAGGTCTTAAATTATGAATCCCTAACCACCTCCATGACCTTGCCCTTGGTAACTAGGGGTTTAGTGTACTGAGAGGTGACTCTGCTTAATAAAAATGGCTTAGCCTCTAGGCACATTCAAGAAACCAAGTCAGAGTTTCTTAGGCTATTAGGAGACTTTCCTGAATACAAATCTCAAGAACAGTGTCCAGATTATAGCAGGAACTAGAAAGGGAATTACTTTCAGTCTAGCTCTAAAAGCTGCTACTTGATTTTGAGCCACAATGGAGGGCATTTGGTAACTTCACTTATTCTCTATTCACAAGGTCATGACTGGCTTTCTTTAGTCTCTAGGGTAATAAATTGAAAAAAAAAAAAAAAAGGAATTTTAGAAATGAAAGCATCTCTAATTATTGCACACAAAGAGGATTGTCATCATTATTTCTAAGGATATGCAGACATGTGCCAAGTCTTGTAGGGATTGGGAAATTAACGAACACATTTACCTTGCTTATTATATCTGATGAACAATCAAATGCTGAATATTCAGATGTCTGATGAGCACTTTGTTCCCATATGTGGACAGAGATGAACATCGACTGACCCTTAATATTCAAATATTAATAAGTACACTCACATTAAAGAAAGCTAATGGTTGAAATATTTGGGATTTTCCAGGGGGTGACACCAATGGTGGCCTGACAATTGGAATATTCACATACAATCTACCACAGCTGTGCAGATGGTCATACTGGAAGCATAGGCCTGTGGGAGTTTGGGATTCAAATCCTGGCTCAACCACTTGTGAGCTCTGTGCCTTACATCAGGTAAGTTATGCAGCCTATCAGCTTCCTCAATAAACAAATGAGGATGATTATACCTACCTCTTCCGTAGTGATACTGCCTCAGAAACCCAAGAAGGGGTCGCTATGAGTCGGGTCTGACTCGACGGCACGTAACAACAACAACAACAACATACCTACCTCCCAGAATGAGTCCAAGGATTAAATGAGATCCTAGCTGCGATTTGCTCAGCCCTGCGGCTGGAACACTGTAAGTGCTTGAGAAATGGTAACTCTCATTACTGTGACTGTCACTGTGACGGTCCTTTTCTTCCTGCTATTTGTTCTGCCCCATTGTGTGCTATGAATAAAGTATGAGCCAAGCTGGGAGATGAAGGGGGCGGAGGAGCAGCAGAAACTGGGACCCTGTTACTCTCATTCCGGTGGCCTAGGGTCTGAGGATCCAGACCAGGGGAGGGCAAAGTATATTTCAAACCTAAATTCTAATGTTGACATCATTTCAGAGAGGGTATCTTGAAGCTTGGTCGGTTTTATATGATTGTATTAATAAAAAAAAAGAATATATTTTTTTCTTCATTAACATTTAGTGGAAAATGTATTCAATGATACGTTAAGGGTAAATTTTACTGAAGACTCCTTTCAGAAATGATCTGCCACTCAGGTTAAAATGGAGATTGCTTTTTATTTAACATAAAATTATTAGCAAACAAAAGGAAAATGAGATAATCATTCTTCATGGGGTTTACCTCTTTAACACAAATAAATACCTAAATATAGATAACAGCATCTATATTTAGAGTGAGCCAAGCCCACACATAGGTTATGGCACAGGCTAATATTTACCTGATGCTGATTCATTAATAGGTGTGGGTGGCAGGTAGCTAGGTCTAAAAGGCAGTGGATGCTGGAGAAGGCTGTGGGCTTCCTTCATGGAAAAACACTTGCCCTTTTCCAGCCTCAGAACCCTCAGTAGAAACAAGTAGCACCTTCACACTTAACCACCGGCTGCGGGAGCTCCATGTGCCCTCCACTGGTAGGGCAATCAAATGATTTGTCACCCAAAACAGGATACTCTAGAGCTGCAATGTTCAGTAGCCCTGAGCCCCATGTGGCTATGTAAACTTAAATTAATTAAAACAAAATAAAAACTTCAGTTCTTCAGTCCCATGAGTCACATTTCAAGGCCTTGATAGGCACAAGTGGCTAGTGGCTGCCATATCGGATGGTACAAAAACAGAATATGTCTATCACTGCAGAAAGCTCAGCTGAACAGTGCTGCTTTAGAAAACAAAAGGGTGCTCACCAACTGAGCTTCTTGGATAACAGGTGCAAACTGGAACAATCCTAGGACCTGTAGTCACCTGGTTCACATGAAAGATATTTAACTTAGGCCTGAACTAAATGAAGGAGCTCTGGTGGTGTGGTGGTTGAAGAATTTGGCTGCTAACCAAAAGGTTAGTGGTTTGAACCCATCAGCCACTCTGTTAGAGAAAGATGACACAGCCTGTTTCTGTAAAGATTTATAGTCTTGGGAGCTCTAAGGGGGTAGTTCTACTCTGTCCTATAGGGTTGTTATGACACAGAATTGACTCAATGGAAGTGGGTTTTGGTTTTGGCTTGAAATAAATGGGTATTAGGAAACCAAACCAATCTTAAACCACATAGCAACTGAAAATCAAGGTATCATACTCATAATACCATGAGGAAGGATGCTGGTTCACAGAGTTCTTAATGTCCAATGTCCAGCACTGTCCAACAGAACTTTGTACACTAATGGAAATGTTTATAAGTTGACCTGTTCAATATGGTAGTCACTAGCCATGTGTGGCTATTAGGCATTTGAAAAGTAGTTATGATTGAGGTAATTTTAAATTTTATTTATTAATTTAAATTTAAAGATACCTGTGGCTAGTGGAAAGGAGCTCTGGTCATACAGAGGTTAACACATTTGGCTGCTAACCAAAGGGTTGGCAGTTCAAACCTACCAGCCACTCTGCAGGAGAAAGATAAGGCAGTCTGTTTCTGTAAATATTTACAGCCTTGGAAGCTAATGCTGGTTCAAAAATAGTTGTGGGTGGCAGGTAGCTATGTGTAAAAGGACAGAGGATGCTGGAGAAGGCTGTGGGCTCCCTTCATGGAAAAACACTTGCCCTTTCTAGCCTCAGAACCCTCAGTAGGAACAAGCAGCACCTTCACACTTAACCTCTGGCTGCGGGAGTGGTTAAATCTTCCATAAAGATTTATAGCCCTGGAAACTCTATGGGGCAGTTCTACTTTGTCCTATAGGGTCACTGTGAGTCAGAATCAACTTGATGGCAGTGGGTTTGCTTTGGGTGGGTAAACCAAAATCCAAACTCACTGCCATTGAGTCAATGGTATAATGACCCCCACTGGGTTTCCAAAGCTATAAATCTTTATGGAAGTCGATCACCCCATCTTCCTTCTGCGGAGCAGTTAGTGAGTTTGAACTGCTGACCTTCTGGTTAGCAGCCAAATGCCTTATCTACTCTGCCACCAGGGTGGCTAGTGGCTACCAATTTGGACAGCACAGCTTTAATCACTCTGAAGAGGAGAAATTAGGTTAATGTGGGTCAGAAGCTCTGGGAAGCCAGAGAAAGCATAAACCAGTATGAGAACAAAGCATTATGGATTGATGGCTTTTGAAACAAAATGACACCTACCTCTTTATTTGTGGAGGCTTCCATGGGGTCACTGGGATGATAGGGTGTACCAGAGGACTCTGCACCCAGGGGTGAGGAACTGCCAGGTGATGGAGACTAGAACACAACAAGAGAATAAACACCAGTGAGAATCTGAGGGAACTGATCAACCCCAGGGGGAAAGGACAAAGGAGAGAGGAGAAAAATAGAACACATCTGAACGAACATTTCAATAGTGAGAAAACTTCCTCAGAAGGGAAGTGCCAACTACACATAAGGGGCCTGGATTTTGAAGCTTTCTTTTTAATTACTGTCATGTTTTCAAAGGCACTCTTATAGCTCACGGTTTCTTCTTCCTTAGGCCAAGTGTTCAAAGAAAATATAGAAAAAATGGAGTATCAAATGTTAAACCCTATTTAAAAAAATTTTCCTTATTGAAGGATACATATGGGAGTCAAACCTCATAAATTTATGTGTCCAAATTCACCTGGGTAGAAAAATAAAAATTAAAACATATATTTAAAAAAAAAATTTTATTGTGATTTGGGTGAAAGTTTACAGAGAAAATTCATTTTCCACACAGCAGTTCATACATATCTTGTTTCATGACATTGACTACAATTCCCTACAATGTAACAGCTCTCTTCCCACTTCCTCCCCAGTTACCTCTTCCCTGTGTCCTTCTTTCCTATGTATTCCTGCCTTCTGAGCTATCTCCCTGTGCAAATATTGCCCCTCTGTTTTCCCATGATTGATCATTCTAAGTGTATCTACCTGATGTAAATGTTCACCCTATACGCCAGTCTATTGTCTGGCTGGAAGCCACAGGAGTGAGTTCAATTCTAGATCCAAGGGTAACTAGGGACTATAGTCTTGGGGGGGTGGGTCTCATCAGACCCTATCATATTAGTAAAACCTGTATTTTTAAGGAGATAGCTGGGGTTGATTTTCATGATTGGCAGCCACACCACATGAATTTTTCTAGTCAGTTCTGATTTCAGATATTTTGTCTGGTTTCATTCACACACAGGCCATTGAACATTCAGATTTAGAGAAACGTCAGCATTTCAGCCTCTAAACATTACCTTGGCTGCTCTTGGAACAGTTAAAAAATCCTTTGTCAAATGTATGTTTGAAAATAAGGCTGACTAAGCTCTCAGTCATGTGTCTAGCACACAGTAAGTGCTCCACAAATATCTGGTGAGTAAGTGGCCAAATAAAGTTAAGAGAGCAAGGGGATAGGGCTGGTGCAGGTCTGAAAGCCATCCCCAACAGATCTCCGACCGTAATCTGCATGCTCCTGAGATTCTGCAAGATGAAGGGAATCTGCCGGTGGGCCACAAGAGATGCATAAGAATTCTGTAGCGATGGTCCTCTGAGAATAAGAATGCTTTGCTTCACAGTCTGTTGGTGATGTCTGGTAGAAGGTATAAAACACAGAGAAACTACACAAGGGTCTATTCTCTGAGGAAACATGGGGATATAAGCAAGGAGAGAGAAGTCTTGGGCAAAGGAAGAAAAATGACACTGGTGTTTGCTTGAATTTGTGTCTGATCTCTTGGAGACTGACCCCCTTGGGGAAGAAGCTGGGGCATAGAGATATCAGTAAAATATCTCTGATGGAAAAGGAGCACATCTCACAAAGCAATGGTGCTGGGCAGGGAAAGGATACACCAACATCAAGGGAGTCCTAGTAAGCATTACATGAAATTACAAAGAAACAAACTCTCCTCCAAAAAAATCTGTTGTTAGCTATCACTGAATTGGATGTGACTCACGGTGACCTTGGGAGCTCTGGTAGCATAGTGGCTAAGACACTTGACTGCTAACCAGACGGCTGGTGGTTCAAACCCACCAGCCACTCCTCGGAAGGAAGGTTGGGCAATCCTACTTCCGTAGTGATACTGCCTCGGAAACCCAAGGAGGGGTCGCTATGAGTCGGGGCCGACTCGACGGCACATAACAACAACAACAACAACACGGTGACCTTACATATAAAAGAATGAAACGCTGCCTGTTCCTGTGCCGTTTGTATGGCATGTGTGTGAGTCAGCCGTTGCAGCGACTGCATCAATCCATCACATAGAAGGCTTCCCTTGTTTTCACTGATCTTCTTCTTTACCAAACACGATGTGCTTTTCTAGGAACTAGCCTTTCTTGATGATATGTCCAAAGTAAGCAAGCCAAAGTTTTGTCATCCTTGCTTCTAAGGAGCGTCTTGCTTGTATTTCTTCTATGACAGATTTGTTCGTTCTTCTGGCAGTCCATGTTATGTCCGGTATTCGTTGCTAACATCACAAACGCATCAATTCTTCTTTGTCTTCCTTTTCATTGTCCAACTTTCACATGCATGTTAAATGACTGAAAAGACCATGACCAGGTGTAACTTAGCAACCTCACTAGAAATACAGAAGACATCAAATGAACAGAAAGATGATGCAATAAAATGCATATTATTCACACTAACAAGTTGTACGGCCCCAGCTGATTGGCTGCAAGACCTGCATTGGTTTTCCATGAGTCTGTATGTATACCTGATTCTGGGCAAGGAGGTAGGGACCAGTGAGATGCATAAATATTCACATGCATACATCAGATGCTCCACAGTAAAGCCAAGAGGGCAGGCACAGGGAAATAGCAGCGAAGTGTTCAAGCCCCACAGCCCCTGGCCACATTAAAGTAGCCTTTAAAAAGAAACACACAGAAGTTTTCATTTGGCACCTGAGAGAGCTGGTGGTACTTGCTGATTTAGCTCTATGTTGGGTCAACTCAAAATTAATGTAGAAAAGTCTTCACAAGAATTTAATGCCTTTAAATGTCCCCAGATTTCCCAAATGTGAAGAGCTTTCTTAGATAGTTAATCTCGATTTTTTTCCCAAGTAATTTTCTGTCACAAAGATTTTAAGGGTCTAGACCCTGGAGACTCTACTACTGTTGTTTTTTCTTTAATTGCTTGGTCTAAGGGCTGTGCAACACTTTTATTTTTAAGTTACATGCATTAACTCCTTTAACACTTTTATTTATTTTTTTTTAAAAAAAAAACCTTCAGAAGAGCTCCAAAGTCTGTATTTCACTGTTATTTTTTGTTTGTTTCAAATCTTCAAAAAATGGATTCTTTACAATGTTGTAGGTACCAGATCATCTCACAAAGACAGGTCACCTGGCCAGTGGCTGGGACGTGGAAGAAGGAGGAGATCAGAGCCCACCATGACTAAGTAGTCAGGACAGGGTGCCGTGAAACACTAAAGAGACACAACTGAGGCTGCTGTGGCCACTGACTGTGCAGAGGCTCTGAGGGCCCCACATTGACCTTGTCAAGGACCACTTCCCCCAGATGCCTGATACTCTAGCCTTCTGCCCACAAACATGCTCATTCATGCTTCCTTCCATTTGAATCTGCAGTTAATAATCTCCATCTAGAAAGTTCTCACTCATCCTCTCCTACATTCAATGGTCAATTCAAAAGCTCTCATCTTGCTGAAGCTTTCTAGACCCTTGACAGCACAGTTCTCTGAGGGTACATGGAATGTAATCACCTGTTTATGTGTATGTCTCCCTTGGCCCCAAGAGCTCTTGGGTGGTTGGGACCCTGTTTTATTCATCTCTATAATCCAAGTGTGTAGCATTGAGTTTTGTAAACAATAGGTACTTGATAAATGTTTGGAGTTCTTGGGTGGCACACATGGTTATGCGCTCACCTGTAAAGTTGGAGGTTTGAATCTACCCAGAGATGCTTTAGAAGACGGACCTGATGATCTATTTTTTAAAAACCAGCCACTGGCAACGGGAGCACATCTGTACTCTGATATACATGAGTTCATAGTGCCGAAGGCACTTTACTGCTAACCAGACGGCTGGCGGTTCAAACCCACCAGCTGCTACTCAGAAGGAGGGTTAAGCAATCTACTTCCATAGTGATACTGCCTCAGAGACCCAAGGAGGGGTCGCTATGAGTTGGATCTGACTCAACGGCAGTGACTTTGTTTTTTTTTTTTTTTTCTTTTTTATACATGGGGTCATCATGTGCTGGAACTGACTTGACAGCAACTGGCTTTTAAGAAATGTTTACTGAATCAATGACTTCAATGTAGTTTCTAGCTTTATGACGTTTCCTAGCTTGGATGAGAAGCAGGTATGTGACAGGTCTACCTGTTTTCTTTCATTGCTTTTCGGTGATCAGTGGTAAGTTAAAAAAAAACCAAACCAAACCCACTGCCACTGAGTCGATTCTGACTCTTAGTGACCCCCAACGGGTTTCCAAAGTGGTAAATCTTTACGGAAGGAGATTGCCTCATCTTCTTTCACTGAGTGGCTGGTGGGTTTGAACCACCAACCTTCTGGTTAACAAATGTCTTAGGCACTGTGCCACTACAGTTCCTTAATGGTAAGGAAGCCCTTCTGTGATACAGCACCCCTACACTGCTATGTGCAGAATGTAAGATCTGCATTTTAAATTAAATAAATGGTATTTGCCTGTGAAGACTCTGACCTGAGCTTTTGAAACAGAAAGCTGTCCAAAAACAGGAATGGGACCATTTGGTGAAGTCTACTTATGACCACATACCACTGCTGACAAAGTCAAGGGTGGACAATCACCATCAAAACAGACACAGCATCTATGAAGCCTAAGCAAAGGGGTCAGTATTCAACACCTCCCAAACATGTGCTTTAAGAACCCCCTGCCTCTTACCTCCAAATTCTACCTGGATGTAACATTCAAAAGTAGGAAAAAAGCCTGAAATTGGTTAACACTTTACTTTCAAAGAATGAACTGGGAATAATATTTAGGAAATGGAATATGACAGAAAAAACAAAAATCATTATTCCGTATTTCTGTCTAAAGTCTCACACCTCCTGGGTTACTAGATGCATATTAAATTTTAAGTAAATGAGACCAAGGTTGGGAAGCAAATGTGGGGTTGGGAATTCACAAAGTTAAGTACCCACTGGAGACATCTATCTAGGAGGCAGAGTTCAGAGATGGGTTGTCAACAACTCCCTGTTCTGTGTAATTATAGTAAGTCTTCTAAAACACAACTTGTCTTGTGCAGGTTATGTTCTGGCAGATTCTCAAGAACTATGATGTAAATTCTACCACCAAAGTTCTGGGGCTCCAC